GGGGCACTGTCCCTCAGCTCTTCAGCTTAAGGTGAGGGCTCTACTGCTTGAGACACAGCACCACTTCGGTTTTCTAGTGGTTTACTGTAGATAAGAGTCTCATGGACTTTCCTGCCAGGGCTGGCTTTGAACTGTGATCCTCAGATTTCAGCTTCCTGAGTAGCTAGGATTACAGGCATAAGCCACAAGCTCCTGGATAGAAGGATACTCTTAAGAAAGACACACAATGCACAATGCCTGTGTGCATTTGTTCATACAAAAACAGTATGTATCAAAACGAACTCCAGGAAATGGGAAAACAAAATGATACTGCTAAACAGAGACACAGACAAATGAGAGAGAGAAAAAGAGGACATACATGCAGAATGATCTCAATTATATGAAAACAGCCTAAAATGTTAACAGGATTGTATCTCAGAATCACAAGTGACAGTTCCACCTGGGGTTGTTTGTGTGGTTGCGACAGCCCATACAATGAAAATGAAAATGTATTAACTTTTTTTGATTATGAAGGCATTTCTTTAAAGGTCATAACAAAAGTACAAGCAGGAAGTGAAAGAGCTGAAAATAGACGGATGCGTAGAGCCAGCTCCAAAGAGGTGAGTGAAGAGAGGGGGCAGCAGATTTCTAGCCAATTAGCTTCCGGCAGAAGAGTGAGATGGCAAGTCGGCAGGGGGCAGGGCCGAGCGCAGGGCGCGGGCTCGCGGTTTTGAGAAGGAACTAAAATTCAACTTTATTGTGTAGTGCTTCAAGTGCCTGGTCAGAACCCAGGTAGAGACATCAAGTGCAGGCAGAAAATGAGGTTGGGGGCTGGGAAGGTGGCTCAGTGGTAGAGCACTTGCCTTGCATGCATCAGGCCCTGGTGCATAAGCACCACATAAGCAGAAAAAAAAAAGCCGGAAGTGGCGCTGTGGCTCAAGTGGTAGAGCGCTAGCCTTGAGCTGAAGAGCTGAGGGACAGTGCCCAGGCCCAGAGTTCAGGTCCACGACTAGACCCCCCCCCCAAAAAAAGAAAAGAAAATGAGGTTGAACAAGAAACAGATTTAAGAGATTCAGACATGGACAGCAATTAAAAGTATAAAAAGTATGTAGTGACACCACAAGCTAGAAACTTTTATATTATAATACATATCACATATATCATATATATATTTTATAATAATTTATTCGCACTCTTGGCAAGCTCTCTCCCACAGAGCCAGTCTCTGGTCTAAGAGAACCATTAAAGAAATCCAGGAGCAGGGTACTGGTGGCTCACACCTATAATCCTAGCTACTCAAGAGACTAAGATCTGAGCATCAGTTCAAAGCTGTAAGACTCTTATCTCCGATTAAATCAAGGAAAATGCAGGAAGTGACGCTGTGGCTCAAGTGGTATAGCACTAGCCTTGAGCAAAAGGAGCTCAAGGACCAGGCTCAGAGGTTAAGCCTCAAGACTAGAGAGGGAGAGGAGGGAGAGAGAAAAGGAGGGAGGGAGGGAAAAGAGAGGGAAGGAGGGAAGGAGAGTAGAAGAGAAGGGGAGGAGAGAACGAGGGAAGGAAGGAAGAAGAGAAGGGGAGGGAAGGAGGAAAGGAGAGAAGAAGGGGGAAGGAAGGACATTCCAAATCCTTGACCTCTTGAAACCCAGTCCATTTCCATTATCCAGTCAACCCTCCTAAGGAGCAGGAGCAGGACTGCTTCCTCCTGCAAGTAGCTGCAAGCAGCCTGTGTCTACGGGTCAGCCTCTCCCCAGCACGCCACTGCTGCTCTCCTGAGCCTCAGGTGACTAGCAAGAGTACGGGTGCTTGCAGTTTACATGGGGTACAAATGTCCCTTAACATACCAATTCCACTTCCTCTTGGTATGTGCCTAGTAGTGGAGCCACTAGATCCAATGATAATCTTTTGTTTTTACTGTTGGTTCTGGAGCTTGAACTGATGGCCTAGGTGCTGTATCTGAACTTTCTTGCTCAAGGTTGGTGCTCTATCACTTGAGCCACAGCTCTACTTTTGCCTTTTGCCTGTTAACTGGTGTTTCATGGACTTTTCTGTTGGCCTCAAACCCAAATCCTCAGCTCTCAGACTCCTGAGTAGCTAGGATTACAAGTGTGACAGTAGACACAAATGAAATTTTTTTAATTTTTAGAGAAAACAAACTTTAAAGTTATATTTAAGTTGTTCAATAGGTAGAAAGGGAGGCAGGAAGCTAACAAGTCTGCGGCTAACCTGGCTACATAGTAAGACACTGTCTCAAACCTTCCACACCAGCTGGGCGCCGGTGGCTCACGCCTGTAATCCTAGCTACTCAGGAGGCTGAAATCTGAGGATCGAGGTTCAAAGCCAGCCCAGGCAGGAAAGTCCGTGAGACTCTTATCTCCAATAAACCACCAGAAAACCGGAAGTGGTGCCGTGGCTCAAGTGGTAGAGCGCTTGCCTTGAGCTGAAGAGCTGAGGGACAGCACCCAAGCCCAGAGTTCAAGCCCAACGACCATCAAAAAAAAAAAAAAACCTTCTACACCTACAAGCAGTTAATATTCTAGAGAATAATTCTTTTCTGGTGCTTGGGGACAAAACCCAGGAACGTGTGCATTTTGTACAAATGCTCTGTTACTGTCAACCCCACCCCTGCCCGTAAGAGATTAATATTTCCTAACAAATGTCAGCGCTATAAAGGGTTACTTGAGATTTCAGTTAATAAAATATATCAAATATCAAAGTGTATGCCTTATTTCCCAGGCTTCACTGGAGCTCCGAGAATGGGTTCTCAGTCAGCATGAATCCCTGAAGCATACTTGTTCTTTGAAATCAGACACAACTCTGGCAGGGAACCTGCATGGGCGGCAACCGAGTTACTACTCTTTCACAGCCCCCTCTTTTTGCTCTTGACCAGAATTCTCCTGTACACAGCTAATATTCACGTCTTTCCTTTGTTTCAGGTTGGAAATATAAAAGAATCATATGCAGATATAGTACTGACAACACATAAAAGTCCAAGTGCCATTTTGTTTCCATTCAGTATCATTTTGAAGTACCAACTAACGTTACAAAGTTTCCAGCAGAACTAAGCTACTTTGAGGGCCAACTAACTGTTGAGGAGCTTGTCTTTGAGGTTTTTGATTTTTGAGATGGTCTACTTATGAAGCTTAGGCTAACACTGCACTTTCTACCTTTCTGCCTCAGCCTCCCAAATGCTGGGATTTATAAAGCCATGTACCGTGCTGGGAATGTGGCTTAGTGGTAGACTGCCTGCCTAGCATGCATGAAGCCCTGGGTTTGATTCCTTAGTACCACATACACAGAAAAAGCCGGAAGTGGCGCTGTGGCTCAAGTGATAGAGCACTAGCCTTAAGCAAAAGCAGCTCAGACTCAGGTCCTGAGTTCAAGGCCCTAGACTGGCTAAATGAAGGGATGTATCACCCTGCTGGGCATCACCAGTTGAGAGCAGTTTTTCAGCCTAATTCCCTGTTATTCCAATTCTGCCAGTTAGAGGTAGACTATGCTTAAACATTTCCACAGAAGGGGACAGAATTTGAAATCACCCCGGAAACACCGTCAGAAGGAGCCTCCGTGCCCTCTCCCCACGGCACAAACTGGTACAGCTTCTCTTCTACTAAATTCAAGACAGCAAGTTAGGCCATGTCATTTCTCTGACATCGAGGCTTAGTCCTCACTTCGCAGATAGGAAACTATCAGTGGTTCAATGAATAAGCAACCTGTCCAAAGCTGCAATGGGCAACCAGAGCGCCTCAGACCCAAGGCTCTGTTTGCCTAGAGCAGAATGTTAAATGCTTCCCAGGTAACAATTACCCATGTCTTTGGAGCTCTAAAATAATAGCTGCCTTCAGTTATTAATAAAGAGAAGAGGGGCAGGGAAGGTGGCTCAGTGG